ATGAAGCGTTGCCGGGTTCACGCAGATCAAGAAGGGGGGATGGAGAATCCGAGGGGTGAGTGGTAACCAGGATGCTAGGGTTCCTTCCGTGCGTGGAAAGGGGCCATACGGAGTGCGTCAAGTTCTCTTGTATGTACAGGAGCGCTTCTCATAACTTGCTTATCGTCACCTTGCAAGTGGACGTTGCCAAAAGACCCTTAGTTAGTTCACGGACTCCTGGCAGATTACGAGAAACGCTCCTGATGACCGGTATCTACCAGATGCGTATTAATGGGTCTATTTACCGTTCTCGTATCCCATACTGGCACATTTTATGCCAAAGTTTTGAACTAGTGACTGCTGTTTTGACAACAGGAGTGGTTGAAGGAGAAGCAGTATTTCGTGGTGACTCATCCTTGCCTTGAGGACGTACAGTAGGTGGGCTAACTCATGTCAACCGAAATCCCGAAAGGCGTTTTCGTTTCGAAAAGATTAATTAAGTAGGGTTGTAAAACTAATCATCGTGCGGAATAATTCTATCATAATTCGGTTACCTCAGAATGCCGGCTTTCGAATAATCTTCCTTCCGGCGGCATGCAAAAACTACACTCTGTAAAATGACTACTTAAGTAGCCTGCATTCTTCTCATTTATTTTCGATGTCCTTAAAAATTCAATTAAATTTCATGGAAAACATGCATAAAAATATTCATTCTTTTGTTCATTCGGTAGAAAATTACGTATTCTTCCAACTTTGTGCTCGAAGGAAGGGTATAATTCGGTTTTAAAAAGTCTCTAATCGTGATACTCTTTAGTACCGTGGAATGGCCGTTTATAAAACATGTCTCTGTATTTATCAATGTGGCTCAAATTCACTGTCAAATTTTATGAATTGTATGTAGTCTTCTCTTAATACCGTAAAGAAATGCACGGTTTTTCGTACGCGGAAAATATGCCAGTAGTAGTTTGGAAATCCCGAGTGCATGTGTAACGACAGGTCGGGTTGGAAATTATTCTGGGATTAGAAAAGTTTTTTAAAACCGAATTATATCATTCCTTTAAGTTTACAATTGGAAGAAGACGTAATTTTTTATCGAATGAACAAAAGAATGAATTTTTGTATGCATGTTTTCCATGAAATCTAATTGAATTTTTAAGGACATCGAAAATAAATTAGTAAAATGCATGCTACTTAAATGGTTATTTTTACAGAGTATAGCTTTTGCATGCAGCCGGAAGAAGGTTCATTCGAAAGCCGGCATTCTGAGATAACTGAAATATTATAGAATAATGTTGCAGACTGACTACTTCTACAACCCTACTTTACTAATCTTTTCGAAACGAAAACGCATTTCGGAATTTCGGTTGACATTTCATGAGTTAGCTCACCGAGGTAGATATAGATTGAAGGACAGCGTTTTGCCTGCTAGCGGCTGGCAGGTTTGGGATGTGGCCTGTCTGAGGCAGGCCTCGAGCAATTCGCTGAGTGCGTTTGCCGGGAATGCCAGTCTGAAAACCCGGGGGACCCGACTGTAATTATATTAGGCTGGTTAAATTACTTACTAGTTAGTAACTGCTCAATAAGAACTAGTGGAAAATGAAAGTTTAATCACCACAAACACCTTTTTCTTGGAATGCGTCATGTTTCTTGTCTTATCCACGCAGACGTCAGAACGGCCTTATTCTCCGGGGGTCTGCAGCGCGACTAAGACGTTTTTTTGCATTCCCTTGAAAGACAAATGCCAAAGTTACTTGTCTACGAACCTAAGATGACGTCAACTTTTGGGGCTGTCAACATCCAAGGGAGTACTTGCGCCAAAAATGTAAATAAAGATTGTATACAGAAGAGGTGGTTCCAAGTCATCAAGCGTGAAGAGAAGGACGGCTAACGGCGGTGGCAAGGCGAGTTATTTACCGGATGGCGATGATGATGATGACGACGATTATGATGATCGTATTGTTCTGTCAGAAACGTGTTTTTGTCTGGCAGTAACTTGGTAGACGCGTGGGCGGTCGAAGTACCAGTGGCTGTGTGCGCAATGTCACGTGTCACAAACTAACATTTGAGGGAAACACTTTCGGAATAAAAATTAACGCTCTATTTTGCAGCAAGCGTTTTGCCAGTTTCGACAACAAGATGTTCTAATCACAGATCTGCACTGTGGTCAAACTTGGAGCAAGGAAAGCATAGCTGGTCATACTCAGGCAGTGTATGTCATGAAATGTTGGGCGGAACTCCGAAATATTCTTTCGATTAAAAAAAAAGATTATTTAGGTAGGCCTATAATATTGGCTATTTTGCAACATAATTTCAAGATATTTCAATCACGCCAGCACGCCGGGTTTCGAATGCACGTCCTTCCGGCTGTCTGCCAAAAACCACACTCGGTAAAAATAACTGCTTGATAAGTATGCGGTGTTTCGCATATTTTATGTTCCCTTATAAATCAAAATACAGTAGATGTGCTTACTCATGAAATGTCAACCAAAAATTTCGAAATGCGTTCTCGTTTCGAAAAGATTAATTAAGTAGTGCTGTAAAACTAACCATGATGAAGCATACATCTATAATGATCCAGTTACATCAGAGTGTCGGCTTTCGAAAGAACTTATTTTCGGCTGCATGCAAGATCTATACTTTGCAAAAATGACTACTTAATTAGCATGCAATTTTCTTATTGATTTTCGATACCCTTGAAAATTCATTTATATTTCATGGAAAGCATGCATAAAAATAATCATTCTTTTACTTATTCCGTAGAAAATCACGTATTCTTCCAATTTCATACTCAGAAGAAGAATATGATTCGGCTTTAAAAAACTTTTCTAATTCCCGAATAATTTTGAACCCGATCTGCTGTTACACTTGCATTCCGGGTTTCAAAACTACACGCTGTATATTTTCCGTGTACGGACCACCATGCATTTCTCTACGGTGTTAGGAGGAGACCATATGAGGTTCATAAAATTAAGCAGTGGATTTGGGCAATATTATTAACTTTACAAGCCACATTCGTAAATGCAGATGCATGACGTTTCATGAACGGCCATTTCACGGTATTAAAAAATCCCACAATTACAAACTTTTTTAAAACCGAGTCATACTCTTCTTTTGAGTATTAAATTGGAAGAAGGCGTGATTTTCTACTGAATAAGTAAAAGAATGAACATTCTTATGCATGTTTTTCATGAAATATAAGTGGATTTTCAAGAGCATCGAAAATCAATGAGAAAATTGTATACTACATACGTAGTCATTTTTTCAGAGTATAGATCTTGCATACAGCCGAAAATAGGTTCTTTCGAAAGCCGAGACCCTGTGGTAACTGGATCATTATAGATTTATGCTGCATCATGATGAGTTTTACAATAATACTTAATTTATCTTTTCGAAACGAGAACGCATTTCGAAATTATGGTTGACATTTCATGAGTAAGCACATCTACTGTATGTTTTGGCAAGATCTCATTTCGTAGCCGTATCTGTTAGGGGTTACAGGGTGGGGGTTGTGGCTAGCAGTTAGGGGTCAGGGTCATGGGCTAAGGTTGGGGGTTAGGGCTAGGGGTTGGGGTGAGGGGCTAGGGGTCAGGTTGGGGCTTGTATACTGCAGGTACGGCCACGAAATGAGATCCGACCCATGTTTTATAATGATTATGAAAAAGATATCCCTTCATGCACTTATTTGCCGGTAAGTAATGTCCTCGTTAAATGTTGTGCTCGAAGAAGGCGTGAGAGTATCTGTCATACATCGATACTGCTTATGAAGTATACGACGTGGACTATGCCCGTTGTAAAATATTACTAGCTCCATACGGTATTAATAGCATAGAGGAATTGACGACTCTCCTTACATGAAAATAAGACACATATATTTTGAAAATCCAAAGCGCAAGTGCAACGGCGGTCGGGTTCTAAATTCAATCAGTATCAGTCAGTATATTTGGAGTAAACGACAGAATCCCTGAAAACTCCATTTAGAGGGTACAAATATAAGGGAAAATAGTTAAATTGCAAAGCTTTTGCTTGTAGTTGGTAAGAAAAATTCATAAATTTAATAATGCAAAATAAAGGCGAAATGGATATTATATTCGCGAAATAATTGCGAAAAACTTTGTTCACCGCATTCGGACTGTGAAAATTTCAATATGGGCTGAGTTTGACGCACAAAATAGGATCTGTTGAAATCTTGTTAGTAGTATATTTATAGTCATTTCAGTAATCCGTTAGATCAGGCTTCGGCAGTTTGGGTTGCCTTTCAGCAGGTGAGTGTCCAGTTGTCTCTTGCACACGTTCACGGTAGGGGAAGTAACAAAAAACTCCGGCAAAGAGTTCCATTGGCGAATGACCCTCTGTGCTAAAAAGGAGGAGCGTTGTTTTGTGTGGCACAGTTCCCTTTTAAGCTGGTAATCATGTCGTCAGTCAACAGTCGGCCAGTCAACAGCTGCTGAGAGTGAACGCAGTGGCTGACAGAGCTAAAGATGGCTCCTCTTCGCGTGCCACGCGCACGACACGCCAGGATTTCGCGCAAAAAGGATGGGCCGCGCTTGGGTCTCACATGCGTACGATTACCCTCGAGGCCACATTGCGAGGGATACAAACGAAACACGCTCCCCACCTACGTGAGGGACACCTGCCTGTGAT